TTTTATTTTTTATTAAATCTGAGTTACGTAAATATGTAACACATATTTAATTTAGATTTGTGTAATGTTAATCTTACTAAAATATTAAATTTTTATAAAAATCTTAATTTAGACTAATTCCAAAAATCGGCACATATGTATAATATTATAGTAAATGTTATAGATGACCTTCCATCACAAACACTTAAATTTGTTCGTTTAAATCTTGAAGATAATTTGTTAAAAATTCGTCAAGAACTTGAAAAGAAAGAAGTTATTGGTAACTCATGGCTGTTTTCAAAAAAGTATTCTGAAAATAATGATACAGGTTATGGGTTTGCTGAAATAGCATTTAATCAGAAGGAATTTTTTTTACTAAATGAAATTATTGAAGAAAATAGTAATACTTTATAGTTTATATTTAAAATGACAATTTAGTTGGAGTCATTTAAATGAATTACATAAATTAGATTATGGATGCACCATAACTTTTGATGGAATTAAAAGAGCACGAAGTAGGGCATTTGAAATGAAAAATCATGAATTTACTGCGATTGGTTCTGAAGGATGTCGAAAGAGGTCTGTTGAATATAAGTCAAATATAGATCAGATTAAGGTTGCTTGTCTAAACCTCTTCAAAATCCTACGATTAGTTTCATCAAAATTTTACTATAGATTTATTATAGTTTTGGCAAAGTTTCAGCAGTTTCAGCATTTATAATAAGTTTTGGCAGTTTTGCCTTTCTCCAAAGTTTCGCCAGTTTTTTAATATAACTTTAATATAGTTTTGGCAGAATTTCACTTTTCGGCGAAATGCCATCTTTCCTATTTAAGGGGCGTGCCAGAAATCACGTGATTATGCTCAATTAGAGACCTGACCCCCTTACCCACCATGTGATTGAATTCTGATTGGCTAAAAAAATACATACAATATAATATATATATATAATATATTATATTAATATATATATTATAATACAATTAGTTTGCTATCTAATAATCCAATTTGCATGAACTTTTTTTTGTTTTGTAGCCCCATTTATGCTTTATAAAATAAAAAATAATTCATTGAAATTGGACTGCTAGATGGTGAAATAATTGCAAAAAAGCTTGTTAATAAATAAATTACCATTTAATATATATATATTATAATACAATTATTTCACTATCCAATAATCCAATTTGCATAAACTTTTTTTTGTTTTGTAGACCTCTTTATGCTTTACAAGACAAAAAAAAATTATTGAAATTGAACTGCTATATAGTAAGTTAATTGCAAAAAAGCTTCTTAATAAATAAATTATTATATATTATATATATATTATAATACAATTATTTTACTCCAATAATTCAATTTGCATAAACTTTTTTTTATTTTGTAGCTCTCTTTATAATTTATAAAACAAAAAAAAATCATTAAAATTGGACTTTTAGATGGTGAGATAATTGTAAAAAAAGCTTCTTAATAAACAAATTATATATTATTTACTATAAAAGATATACTATTACCATAAAAGGTATATTATGACACCTGATTGCAGGACCTGACCCCCACCCACCCACCAAATCACATAATTTCTGGCACGCCTCTAAACCCCTAGGTTTCGGCAAGCAACCTTAGATCAGATGATGAAAACAAATTTATTTTTTAGTACTGATATTAATGTACAGGATTTTGCCAGATTAGGATTGTCAATCGAAAAGATGAAAAATGAAGGAACCAATCCTGAAACTAGTACTTCTTATTTCTTTACAGAGTATGATAAAGCATCTTTGAAATTTAGTGAACATTTAGAACCAACTTAAGAATTTATTGAAGTAGTAGAAAAAGCAATAAAATCTCAAGATCCTGTTGAAGAATTTAAACAAATAACTGATAAATTCGGTCAATTTATTTCAACTGAAGTTATTTTGGGTAGTAGGGCTCGTTTTGAAGTACATACTGGAAATTCTAATAAAGTTGCTAAGAATGCAAATGCTGGAAAGATTCTGGGAATTAGTGCAAAAGAAAATTCAACTTATTATAAATCTATAAAATTAATTGGAGGAGAACATCCCGATAAAATTGAAAATTTTGATGAAGAAGCTTGGGTTAAATCTCTAGAAGATTATAGAAACTGGAGTTGTATAGAATTTTGAGATCCAATTAGTATTTTTCAAATTTTGCCTAAAGGTTTACTACATCATAAACAAATTATTAAGTCTCTTGGAAAAAGAATTTATTATTCATGTACTGAGGATATTTTCTATTATTTAGAAGAAGTTGGAAGGCCAAAAAAATTTGAATTAAATATACCACAAAATATCTTGAAAATGGTTATTGACAGAGAAGCAGATTGTAATATTTTTGTGACTGTAATTGATATGACAGAGTTAAAAAATGATTTTTTTACTTGTCAAGTTTTTTGTCCATCAGATAGAAAGTCAAGTCTTATAATTCATTGTGTTCAGAATAAATTTAAACGACATAAATGCAAATTGAAAATTAGATGGATGGTAATTGGATATTGCACATATTTTAATTCTATACTTTTAAATTCCAATATTAAATTTAAAGTTCTAAAGAATTATTTTAATAGGTTAAAAAATCAAATTATGATTAGTTTAGAATTATTAGATTTTGAATATGATTTATATGCCAGAAAAACTTTCCTTTGTCTAGGAAGTCTTGTATTAACTGAACTTGACTCTTCCAATAGATCACTTGTTATTGGGCACCATTTTTTTGACGCTCAAGAGGAGAATAAAATTGGAATACGTGCATTCTCCTATTGTTTAAAAAGAAGGTACTACGTTGGTTTACCAGAATTCACTTTTTATACGCTTATCATAGATAATTCTACTTCTAATACCTGTAGATCACTTCCTTTTAGGTTTAGTATATTAAAACAAGAATCATTCTTTAAAAAAAATTTGTCCTCCCAATATATAGCATATTATGTCTATCAAAAGATAATTACAAACCATTCTTTTTGAAACAAAAAAATGAACAAATTAAGATAAAATATGTTTATTGTAATTGTGGTAATACTTGTGTTAATTGTAAGAACAAAACAATAAAACTATTAAAAAATAATGCTAATTTATTTGCTATTTTTTATATTTTGTGGTTAACAAAAGTATGCTTAATTTAATCAAATATTTGTTGATGTAGTATTGATAGTTATAAAGATAATTAGCCGTTTATGACTAAATAATATAATTATATTATTTAGTCATAAACAGCTTAGACTAGGTTATTTAGTAATAAAATAATCTAACTATAACTAGTCATCAGGAAATTTTATAGCGCGAAAAATTGCGTAAGTTTACGATTTTGTAAGTTTAAAAAAGTTTATGGAAAAATATTTCGAAAAATTTCAAAATATTACGTAAGTTTACAATTTCGTAAGATTTATGTGATATTACGGTTAAAATATTACGTAAGTTTTCAATATCGTAAGATTTACGCAATATTACGGTCAAAATATTCTGCAAATTTACGAAACTGTAAACCTGCGTAATATTACGGTTGAAATATTTCGAAAATTTACGAGATTGTAAACTGCATATGCAGTAGAACGTATACAAGGGGCATGTGATACTATTGAATAATCAAAAATAATATAAACACCTTTTCTTTTATATAAACACCTTTTTTTTTAAGTTTGGGAAAGCAAATTTATTTTTATTTACGAATTTTTTATTATTTACAATTTTTATGTTAAAAATTAAAGTAAATTCTAATTTTTATTATAACTTAATAAAAAAAATACACATTTGATACTTGTTCGCTACTATTTTATAAAATAGTACCCAGGCTGTACGGCGTGGACGTCAGTATCAGTCACAGCCCAAAAAAAACGTGAGTCTCCAGCCGATATTTGGTACGGACTGGGCCTAGCTACTCACTTAATAAATAATAAAAAAATAAAAATAATTATCTTCTTCTACGATACGTAGGTAAGTTTCTCCTTGCCCTACGATCGTCACGCGTGACTAAAATTGATCAAATTTATCAAATTTAAAACATGAACGTAAATATTAATTATAAATTTTATTATAGTATAATTACCCGGCCTCTCCCAAAATCTCGTTCTAAATTCGCGATAATATCTTGCGCCGGTACGCGTCCACAGCCGCCGCCCAGGGTTACCATTACGATAAAGGACATAGTTCTAAATATCAAAATCAGTTTGAATATTCGGTAAATACATTTAATTTATATGAATGTAATGTTATTTATTTACTTACATGGTAATCCCTGACGAGGTTCCTCCACTTTTGGCTGCACTGTTGCCCGGAAACCCTCGTTCGAAATATTCTATTTATTCTGATTCAATTAAATGGATTGGTTAATTTGAATTTAAATTCTTTCTTAAAGAAAATTATAGATATTAGTCATATGAACCTATTGGCAACAGAGTCCCAAAAATCATGGCGGCTTCTACCATTAATATTATGGTAGGCGCGGTTTCTGTCGCGGCGTATGTCGACAAGTTCGTCCATCATAGCCCAGTTCCAATGGACGTTATAGGAACGACGACGTGTTTGGCGAGGCATTATTAGATTTGATTTGATTTTTATAATTTGATTTTGGGATGAGTAAAAATTTGAAAGAAAGTCGTAAAATGTCACTTTAAATAAAATTTGAACAATACCTCTTTGGTTTGATTTTATTTCTCGTTTCAATTAAAATTTAATTTATTAGACTTTTCATCATTAAACATATTAATTAAATCTCATGCGGATATGGATTATCTAAATATAAATATCATGATTCTAAATATAAATATAAATCACTTAATTTATTTTAATTTTTTTTTAAAAAAAAAAATCTTAGTTTGATTTCAATTAAAAATAATTAAAAATCATGTACATGTTTTGGTTATTTAAATATAAATATCAATATATTATATTTAAAAATAAACCAATTTATTATTAGCACATTCTATTGAATTTTAAAAAAATCAATTTTTTTTTTTAAAAAAAAAATCATCAATATATCATATTTAAAAATAAAACAATTATATTCTGATTAAATATTTTGCGTACATTTCTTAAAAAAATCATAAAAAAAAATCTTGTACGTCGTACATGCAATTACTAAATATCATCCCCTTGTGATAAATAAAAAATTACGCAACACAAATTCAACACAAACTCAACACAAATTTAACAAATTTAACGAAATTTGGCCAAAATTAATAATTTTTTACCAGAATTATCAACACAAATTGAACACAAATTGAACACAAATTTCAGTCACGATTTATTTATGTCACACCCGCTATACGATGTACATGATTTCTGGCCAATCAAAATTAGGCTGATCCTTGCATGTGATTTAATCATTTAATCATTTAATCATGCACGCGTTTTTGTCTTATTTATTTTTGTTTCTTATTTCTTTATTCTTTTGTTCAATATTTTTAATTTTTTTGTCTCTTCTTTCTATTATTTCTTTAATTATATACAATATATTTACATATATTTCATAATTTATTGCTTTGCAGGTATAGAAATATTTGTTTATTAATACTAATTATTTTCATTTTTTTTTACCTCTTTGTTATTTTGTATCGTAATACTAACAATAATATCCATGTTTCCTTTATTCCTTTTTACTTGTACTTTAATACTAACGATACTAACAATACTAACAACATGTTTATTTTTTCCTTTCTCTTTAAGTCTTTATTCTTTTGTTCAATTACTTTGCAGGTATAGAAATATTTATTTATTAATACTAATTATTTTAATATTAACGCGTTTTTTTTTTACCTCTTTGTTACTTTATGTCGTAATACTAACAATACTATCTACGTTTCCTTTATTTCTTTTTACTTGTACTTTAATACTAACGATAATATCCATGTTTCTTTTACTCCTTTTACTGTTTCTTTAACTCTTTTTACCTTAATACTAACAATAATAACAATATTTCTTTTATCTTTATATCTAATACTAACGTTACTATAGCTGTTTCTCTTCTTTTTACGTCTAATAATATTGTTACTCTACTCTTTCTCTTTTTTACTTTTATGTATTCTGTATATATTAATAAATACTTGTAATTTTTTATGATTATATCTAATAAAACATACATTATATAAACTTATAGTACAGAAAATGAAGTATTATTTATCGAAATATTTTGAAATATTACGAAATATTAAGTTGTGTAAAATCACAGAATATTACGAATCGTCAAATTATGGAACATTACGCATCATAGAATTTCGAAATATTTTAAAAAGTTGCGAAGTATTACGCAGTAAAATTACGGAATATTACGAATCGTAAAATTACGAAGCCTTGCATACAGTAATATTTCGAAATATTTTAAAAAGTTACGAAATATTACGCTTACGCAAACTTGCGGCGGGTCTGGAAGCTTACGAAATATTATGATGTGTAAACTTGCGCAACTTTTCGCACTATATAATTTCCTGATGTAAATAATCTAAATATGACTATAAATAATCTAACTATAACTAAATAATCTAAGTATGACTATAAATAATCTAAATATAATTAAATAATTTAAACATATCTAAATAATCTAAAGTTAATAATTTAAATATGATTAAATATTCTAACTAAATAACCTGTTTGTGACAATTTTGTATACCTAGTTATTTTTTTTACTATATTCCTTCCCTTTGAATTTGCTTTTCTTTAGCCTTTTCTATTTATTATTTGTGATCATGTAATTAAATAACCTAAATATTACTATTACTAAATAATCGAAATGTACCTATTTTTATTTAGTTCTGTGTGTCAATAATCATTTTCTAATATAATTTATGATATTGGGATTCTATGGTTGATTGGTTGTTAAATTCTATGTTGGAGGTCTGGCTTGTCTGCAATTGTTTGAATTCCAAGTTTTATGATGAAGTTTCTGCCATTCTATGCCTCTTTGGTTGCCTGTTAAGGATTCGAGAGTGCTTTACTTCTTTACCTATTTTGTTATCCATCAAAATGCTGAAATATGGTAAAAAAAATATCATGTCAGGTGGCGTAGTAGATTGTAGTAGATTAATTTTGGCTGGCACTATACCATAATTTTGGCTGATCTTTTAGGCATGTGATTCGAGGATCCAGCTTAGCACCATAACAGTAACCTGATAGTATCCTTGGAGCTGTCATGGAACTAGTGAGGAACTGGCAGGGAGCTAAAGTAGTTCTGTTAATTTGCCAGTTCTTTATGCCAGCTTGGATGCTGACTTCTTATACCCAAAGATCTGGCTGAAATTGTGAAATAATGCTGGCCGATTTATATTGTGCCTTACTGCACCGGTCACATGACTTTTGCTGACCCACAGGTCAAAGAATTTGAAATGCAAAATATAAAAAACTGTACATTACCATAGTCGGCCTGCACCATTTGTGATCCAACTATTGCCTATTTGTTACTGGTATATATATGCTAATTTTTTGAGCGCTCCTAATGTCTCTAGTAAAAGTAAAGTTATAGGAAAAAATATCGAATCCATTCTATATGTATGCCGTCACCAAGAAAATTTGTTAGTAACGCTCTTAGTGACGCTCTTAGTGACACCTTGTATACTTTTTTTGAAGTTTGGGGATGTTCGGTTGTCTTCCTTTATATCTGTCACTATGTCACTAAGAGTCACTAAGAAAAAGTAAAGTTCTAGGAAAAAAATTGAATTTTCTATGGGTATCAGTATGGTATATCTATCGGTATGCTATATATATATATATATATATATTATATGTATATTATATTTTTACTATACCCATAGATAAAAAAAAAAAATAAAAAGTAAAGTAGTCCGATTTTCTTAGTGACTATTAGTGACATGGTGACATCTATCTAAAAACCTCTAAAAATACGAAATAGCTATAAATTTTATCACCAAGAGCGTTACCAAGAAATTTTAGCGAATTGAGTTTGTCCAAAAGGCCATAGGGATAGTGACAACTTTTTATTCTTATTTAAGTTCTTTCGATTAGCCTAAAATTACTTGAGCGGAATCTCTTTGGGACCATCAGCTTGCTTAGCCAGTTTTTTCTGATGGTAATGTTCTTTCAATCTATGTTTTTTTGCATGCGTATCGCAATAGTCATATTTGGATCTTGTCATCTCTTTACATCCACTTTCTTTGCAAGCAACTTGCCTAGAATCCCGATAGACTTTACATCCTTTTGGATTATAGCATCTCTGATTACACACTTCGCCAGTTCTAAGAATATATGGACAATAATAAAAATTCCAGGGTGTTACCTTTTTTTCGCCTCCCATTTATGTATATCGATTAATAATCTCTGATAATTAATTTCATTTTAAACTTTTTTCTTGCGAATAATATACCTTGAGATTTGGTATAACTATAAATTATCGTAAATTGCTTGAGAAAAAAAATGACTGAACAATCCAAGCTTTCAGAGTTCCTCGATGCCCCCTGTTTAAAGTCTCTGATATAGGTGCATCTATATATAAAATTCGTNACATGCTTTATATCTTGCTGGGAAAAAGAGCGCCAAGCCGAAGTTAAGGAAGTATGAGGCGTAATTAGTATTGTTGTCTGATGCCAAGAGTCCTTTGAAAGCACATGCAAATGGAATCTTCATACCTTTTCACATGGAGATCTACCAGAGATAAAGATATTAGCCTTAATTATTTTTTAAAAAATTTTGAATTACGGCTATAAGATTTTTATAGCCTTAATTAATTACAGCATATAAAAATTTTGTATTACGACACTTTTTTGAATTACGGCTAACATCTTTAAGAATATCGCTCTGGTCACAGTATTCACTGAGCTTGTCCGTAAGAAACTTCCAGTATCTCTCCAGAGAAATAGTATTATCGATAATATTGCAAATAAAAGTTCTTTCTTCTTGCAGATGCTTGGATTACCCAAATACAATGAAAAAGCAGAAGAACATATTCGAGTGAAAAAAGCAATGCACCCTAAAGATGGAATCATTTTTGACTTCATGATTCGCCCGCCCAATGATAAATCAGAAATCGCAGAAAGTCCTCTCTTAATTGTTCTGGAGCCAGAAATGGGGAGATGCCCTAACATAAATAATGTCACCACCGATGCTGAACTCGAACTAATAGAAGGATTGCTTCAAGAAGCTAACATCGAAGGGTATAGTCTTTCATATCCATCTGAAAATTTTCCTGATAAATTTCCACTATCTCGCCTCTCTCCATCACACTGCCCAATATGTGACCGAAAGCATGACAGTGATAATGCATATATTATCTGAAATAAAAAATCCTACAGCTTTTTCTGCTACCGAGCAAACCAAGATAGGCAACCCAGATTTAGAAAGCCTTCAAAAAAGCTTACTATTGGCGAGACAGCTTTATATAGGGAAAAAAAGCTTCCAATTCCAGAGAAACAGGGTCAGCCTAGAATTTCTGACCCTAATGATCATTTCGTATGGTGGAATTTATTACGTATGTGTACTTCGGGTAAGAAATTCTCTCGCACTGAAGTTTATGAAGCTATCTAAGCAACAGTTGCCTGTGTGCAAGAAACTACAAAAAATATATATATATATATATATATATATTGTGGCTTCTTAAGCGTAAGGATGCAGAGAATGGGTTTTACTTTGATATGAAAACTAAACTAGACCTTACCGATTTCAAGATTAATATAATCGAATATAGTGGAAAATCGATAAAGTTAAAATCATTGATAGATCAAGCAGTTACTAAAGGTCTAATTATTTACGAAGATTATAACTTTCTTCCATATCCAATAAATGCTTCCCAGCCAAATACAGATTTCTTTAACCTTTTCCTAGAATTTTTAGCTAAGCCAACGCCAGAAATTAATAAGGAAATTATGGATCCGATTCTCTGGTATGTAAAGAACTTAATCTGTAGTAGGGATGAAAGACTTGACGAATATATCTGAAACTGGTGGGCATATTTAGTGCAAAAGCCAGAAAAAAACCCTGATCAATTTTAGTGCTAAAATCGACATTACAACAATGTGGGAAAAATATTATTACTGACTTTATTGGTGATAAAGTCCTAGGGGAACATCTACACTATGCTACATCAGATTTAGAAAAAATTCTTGGACGTTTTAATAGTGCCATCCAAGCTTGAAAGCTCATTATTATGAATAAGACTGGAATGTCTAGTGCAGAATGGCATAAATTTAACGGGCATCTCAAATCTTTCATAATGGAAGGAAGGGTGTCTATAGAGCGTAAGGGTATTGAAACAAAGCAAATTAGAGATTTCATTGGGTTTATAGTTACAAGCAATCAGGACACCCCACTCAAAATAGATATAGGAGATTCTCGTGTAATCTGTTTTGATGTTTCCTCACGTTGTAGAGGCAATACAAAGTATTTTAAGCGACTAGAAAAAGTTCTTGACCACCCGACGCACCAGAAGTAGTCATGAGATATCTTCTTAGTTATAACCTTTCAGATTTTGAACCACAAGAAATTCCCGCAACTAAAATGAAAATAGATATAATGTGTGATCAGCTTCCTAGTTCCATTTGATTTATAATCAACTATATTACATCTAGGGTTGAGGATGGAACATCACACAAAGTCATACATCATTATATCAAAAGTATCTTGAATGGTATGGAGAGAATGGTGAAAAACTATTGACTAGTAAAGTTGCTGGAAAAAAGTTTTCTGAAATTGGTATTAAAAGCAAACAAGTGCGGACAGGTGGTGGAAAAAGAGAGTGGCAGTATATTCTCAACCGCTCCAAGATCGTAGCTAAGCTCTGTGAATCTGGCCTAGGCGATATCGAAGAATTTTCTGATATACCTTAACCTGACTTACCCAAAAATAAGATCACAGATATACGTATATTCAATGTGCCAGAAAATATTTCTCTAAAAACAATTCTGCCTCAGCCAGAGCGCCAAGCTGATAGAAAGAATACGCCTTTACCTAATATCAGTAAAAATAAGAAAGCAGATAAACAGGACGATTTAACCCAAACCCTCTTCGACTACAGTTAACCCTTGTTATAACGAACCCTAGGTTCCAGACCTCAACTTCGCTATAGGGCTATAGTGAAGATTTTAAGAGATTTGATTGGTTAATTCGTTATAGCAAGGGGAAATTTATTATAGTTGTCTGAAAAATTCACTATATCAAGATTTCATTATATCAAGGTTTGACTATATATAACAGGTGAAGTTCCAGCCACCTCAACATCTGGGACTTCCAAGACTTCTAAGACTTCTGAAACTATCAAGCTTCCTGATTCTCCCAAACTTATCAACGAAGTGGTGAATATGCCTTCAAAAGAAACAAGCAACAAGCACGACCCTCTTGAGCCTATCAATCAAGTATCATCTGCTATACTCCTGGCTAGACAACAGCATGAAGATCATCTTAGAAAAAGGGCAGTCGAACTTGAAGAGAATCCAGATGTCTTCATAACCATCACTGAAAAAGACTGTCTCAATTCTATTGCATTTTAAGATAGAATGGAAACTAACTTTCAGATGTGTGGTTATGCAAAAGAAGTAGAAGAAGATCCCAAAAAATATATGGACATGACAGTACGGAAAAGATTAATAGGAGAAGAAATAATCCGCCATTCTTTCGAGAAAGATGGGATCACATCCTTCTGGCTTGATACTGATGAGGAATGGAAAAAACGGTAAGCACACTCCAAAAGAATGGTATGCTTTGGTAAATAGCGAATAAAAAGCTGGCCCTCTTGTTCAAGAACTTCAAGGCAGATATCTTTGAATCTTTTTTTTTCTCATTCTGCAGATCAATAGATCAAGGGGGAATTATTATTATTTTTTTCGCATATCCTATCCACCTGTAATTTTCAAATATTTGCAGAGCAAATCCCGGCCATAGTGGGTGGTCTCATAGAGATCCAGCATAAGCTATATCATTATTTTTTCGCTCCTCCAATCCTTCGATAGCTTTCACTGACCATGGATGTCAGAACAATTATTTATTTTTTCGAATTGAACTTTCTCCGCATAGTATATACCAAACAACCTAGGTATAACCAAATATCTTACATATTACCAAATAATAACATGGCTGGCATCGCTACTAGATATGTAACAGAAAACGAGTTCAATACTGAGATGAGTATCGAAAAGCTAAGTAAACACGTACTGGCATTGGATATTCTTTTAACAGATAAAGTTAAGAGGGATCAGGCACGATGACGTCTCAAAAAAGGATACAATTTTAGCGAAGAACAGGTATTTGCATTAATTCCTAAGCTAACAGCTGGTCAAAAAAAAGGAGGAGCCTTACCCAATGTTCCTGATACTCTCGATATCACCCAAAAAGCAGAACCGGATACAGTGAATACATGTCAAATTTTACCGAAAGAGACTATTAGAGATTTGGCCCAGTGTATCATTCAGGATAATCTTAATGAAGCAGAAGTAAAAGTTATAGCAAAAGCCTTAGTTGAATCTGCTTTTAATGCTAGTGCTAGTTTATCACGAATCTCTAGGCTTCGAAGAGAATTGTGAAACCTCAAAGCCTCAGAAAAAATTATCTCAGCTACATTGATTCCAGACATAACCCGCTCAGCTAATAAAATCTAAAAGAAGCGTAGTAAACAATGTTAAGATGAAGGGATCGATTATCTGGACCACTTCTTGTTAGAATCGGTTAAGAAGAGATTGGATATGTATAATGTATCCAAAGCCCCTGGCTTACAAGCCCTTGCTGATGTAACGATAATGCTCTGCATCCGTTCTGCTGAAATAAAAACCTTGCGTATATCTAATGAAGGTGTAACTGGATATGCAAAAAATCGAGGACAACAAGACATTCCTTGAGTATTTAGATCACTAGAGAAGAATGAGGAGCGAGCTAGAGGATCGCTTGTATGGATTCAGGAAGCAATTTCTTCTGGACAGTTACGAGACCCTAGAAAACCCAGAGTGTTATGGTTTAATACATTTCTGAAAAAAGATGAGTTCCTTCCTGAAACTGGCAAACTACTACTTCCTAGTTCTTTGCGCAAATTAGGGGCGGTATTTGCAGTTGTTTCGAATTGTGCGAAGAATTTATTAGAGGCTATGACTATTGCCAGTGAAGCACTTCGCCACAGTTCTGACAACTATGCCTCTCCAGCGTAAATCTATACAATAGTAAATTATCAGTTATGGGGAGAACCGTATTATCAGGCAAAAGCATTCAAGCTCTTTGATGAAAATAATCACATATATGGGTTAGTAGATCGGGATATCATTATTAATTTTATTTTTTTGTTCGAGATAAGATATAGCATATATAAAATATCACAAAAATGGTAATCGATCAAAAGCATTCATCTGATAGTGCACTCAGTAAGCAGGAAGTTATCAGACATATAGAGAAAATAGCCAAGTTATTTGGACTGGACAAACAGAATGCAGGAGCATATAAAGCACTCTCTGGACAAATTTGGGCATTAGAAAAAAGACTGGAAGATTATCATTTCGAATATGTAAAGCTTAAAAAGAAGGTCAATTTATTGGAAGCTGAATTGGATGATCTGGACGAATGTGTTGATAGGGAAGCTGTGGTCGACTTAATACATGAAATAGTTTCTTTGCTGATTGGTAAAAAAGGTAAAGCTTTGTTCGAGTCTTCTGAGGATTCTGATTTAGATGAGATAATTGAGGGGTTCCATAGGTATCAGGTAAAAGAAAAAAAGGATGTTCCTCATAAGCAACTAAGGAAGGCACGAGCAAGAAAGGTTAAGCGAGTGGTAGTTTAAAGAGATTAATCAGGCGCATATGGTATCTTACCGCATAATTAAGAGCGTTGAATAGAGGTTTATTTTTTCGATTAAAGATACAGCATATATTATCCATGGCACATTCTAGCAATATTAATATACTAGAACTATTAGAGCAGATTCTATATTTCCTAGTAGTAGAAAAATCCCTCTACCCTACTCTATTTGTTTCCCGATTGTGGTACAGATGTGGTGCCTCTTTTCTATGAGAACGCATCGAGTTAAAAGGGAATGACCTGAAATATGGCCATCATTTCCTAGACGATTATACTTATCATGAGAGAGACCGTACTCGATGTAAAAGATTTATAAAATTAATAAATGAAAAACATAAGCCAGCTTATGTCTTAAATACAACCCACCTAAAAATTACTTTTTACCATTCATTTTCAGATAAAAAAATAAAAAGTATTGTAAAAATGTTCCCAAATATAGTTTATTTAGATTTCAAAGATAGTATAGGTTGTATAGGTTATGGTGATAAATCACTATTTATAATAGCAGAATCATATCCTAATTTAAGATATCTTAATTTATGGAATACTCAAGCAATAACCGATAAGGGCTTATGTACAATCATAGAATCATGCCGTAAATTAGAACATTTAAATATTTCTTACTGTGAAAATATTAGCAATAAATCTTTGTTTGAGATCGCAGAAAATTGCCATGATTTGCAACAGTTCCATTTTGCTGAAGCGTATTGGATTACAGATAAATCTATAAGTTGTATCATAAACTCATGCCCAAATTTACGAAATTTTAATATTGCATACAGTCAAAGCTCGTTATAGTAAATTTGGCTTATAGTGAACTTTTTTTATTTTCCCAGTTCATTCTATATAAATTTAATAAAAATTTAAATATAGAACATATATTATAAATTTATACTTGTTATAGTGAATATCACATGATATTAATCATTTTTAGTTAATTTAAATGCCTATCCATTATAACACATTAACACTTTTTTTTCTTTGTTTTCAAAATGCCACCCGATAAAAAAAGGAAAAGAAAAGTAGCAGAATCAACCAGTAAAAGGGAAAGTTTATCTTTCACAGAAAAAAAAGAATTATGCGAGTGGAAAAGAGATAATCCATTATATAATCAGGAAAATCTTGCTAAAAAGTTTGGTATATCAAAGCCACAAGTTTGTAAAATATTAAAAGAAAAAGATAAATGGATATCCATCAATATTTCAAATAAGGAATTTAAAGATCAAAAACGGGATAGAGGTGCCAAGTACTCAGAAATTGAATCTGTATTGTATTTGTAGATGCAGCAAGCGTTAGCATCAAATCTAACTATTACAGGAGATGTATTAAAATCTAAAACTTTGAATTTTGCAACTAGGCTACAAATAACATTTTTTACCGCTTCAGATGGATGGTTAATAAAATTTAAAAAATGATATAATGTAAGGCAAATTAATAGAGCTGGTGAAGCAAATAGTGCACCTTTAGAAACACTGGAAGAAGAGCGCAAAATTTTGCAAGAAATTATTGAACAATATGATCCTTGTGATATTTATAATGTTGATGAAACAGGTAAAAACAGGTTAAATTTAGTGCAAATTTATAATTTTATTAACTAATTTTATGTACATACATCAGCTTTATTTTGGAATTTAGAACCATCAAAAACGCTTTCAGATCATTATATTTCTGGTACTAAAAAATCAAAGAATCGTATTACAGTTGTTTAACTTGTAATGCCGATGGTAGCCATAAATTACCTGCATTAGTAATACATAAGTAGCAAACTTCACGTGTTTTAAAAGGAATTAAAAAAGATGATTTTCCTGTTTGGTACTATTGGAATCGTACTGCATGGATGCAAGTATCAGTATAGCGTGATTATTTAAATAAATTTAACCAATTAATGAAATGGCAAAATCGTAAAATATTATTATTGGCAGATAATGTGCCTACACATTTATTAGATGAAACTATTCAATTATCAAATATTAAAGTATATTTTCTTCCTCCTAATACAACTGCCCATTTATAACTATTAGATGCCGATATTATCAACAGCTTTAAGGTAAATCCAATTATTGAATTTTTTCTATTAATATTTTGTTACTTATAATTTAAATTTCCTTTAACATTTATTCATATATTTATAATTTTAGGCTCAATATAGAAAATTATTAGTTGCAAATAGAGTAGAAACGTACGATTTAGCTCAAGAAAGCAGTTCTGATGTAACACCAGTTGATATTCTTGATGCTATAACATTTGTTAGTAAAGCATGGAACATTGTAAAATCAAGTACAATTGAACACTGTTGGGAAAAAACAGGTATTTTACCTGATTTTAAAGGAAATAATCCTGAAGAAAATGATTCTGATTGGAATCAAGATATTAATGATGATATTAATAGAATTACTTTAGAATTACAAGAAATGATTGATGAATTAAATTTACAAGATCCTATTACAGCTATACATGAAACCGAAATTGGTTAATTTTGACCTCCGAAATGGTCGAAATGGTCGAAATGATTTTGACTTGAGCCCCTCCAAAAGTCAAAATGGTCGAAATTACGTCATAGTTATATGATTTTATAGCTGTCTCTTATA